AGAGAAAGAAGAGGAGGAGGGAGGAGAGGGAGAAGGAGGCAGCGGATAATGGAGGAAGAAACAAGAGAGGCCTTGGACGACCGGATCTCCTGAGAATTAAGGGGGTTCAGGCCTAGGCTCCTGGCCGGAAGTCTTGGGCACTTGGGAGCACCAGGGGACTGGGGAAGTAAATTAGTCCAGCCCCCTGCCTTGGGGCAGAGCGCCCTAGACCGCCCCCATGCTGGCCAATGAGAACACATCTCATCCTTCAATTCGTCCAAGCCTTAAGGTTCCCCTGATGGCCCAGAGCTAGAGGGGACACCAGAGGCAGGCTCCGCTGCATTCCTGGAGGGTGAGGGGACCCCCAGGAGGCCTGTCCAGCTCTGGGGCCGCTCTCAGAAGGCCCAAGGCAAGCATCTCCCCCTGAATTTCCCTGACTTCCGGGAGGGACTTTGGCTCCATCCATGGCCAGCCAGGCCATGGGCTGACCAGGCCAGGGAGGGTGGGCCAGATGTGAGCCTGAAGGGCAGCCACCAATCAGAGTATCCCCTTTGCTTTTGAATCTTCTCTGGGTAGGACTGTTGACCTCTTTGTTCCCAGGGCCTAAGCCGGGACCCCAGGCATTCTCTTTTCCTTTTTCTTCCTTTTCCATCTTGGCCCCCACCCCAAGTGCGCACACTCAAAGATTAAAAGCTGGAAGGGACCTTGGCAGGTATCTCACCCAACCCCAACCCCGGCTTACTGAAGCCCAGAGAGGCTAGCCCCTTTGCCTGTGGACACACAGCTGACGGGCATCTGCCCCATTCTAGGTCTGGCCAGTTTTCCACTCTAACCACCCTCCCTCTCAGAGAGGTTTAAGGAACTTGCTGGCAAACAGTGAAACCAGGATTTGAACCCAAGTTCTCTTGGAGCCCAAGTTAGCCTGATAACATACCCATTGCACCCACCTTGAGGATTCCAGGTCACACCAGTCCACCCCCATGCTGTCTCTCTCTCCACCTCTCCCCCGTTCACAAGCTAGACAGCCCAGACTCAGTTTGGGGCCCTAGCCTGGCCTTCCCACGGGCTGCTTCCTTTCCTTCGTCCTTCATCAGTTCTCCCTGGGGGCCGTGGATAGAGTGCTCGTCTTGGAACAAGGCTGGGTTCCAACCCCAACTCCTCTGTTTACCATCTGGGTGACCCTCAGCAAGCCTTTTCCTTCTGGGCCTCAGTTTCCTCATCTGTAAAATGAGAGGGTTGGCACTGCTGACCTCTGAGGTCCCTTCTGACTCTAAATCTATGATTCTTTCTCTCCCCCTCCTCGATCAGAGCAGAAGCTTCTTGAGGGCAGGGACTGGCACCTAACGTCACGCCTGGCGCAGAATCGGGGCTCAATAACGGCTGGTCGTGTTGAATTGAATTTTTCTTTCTTTCTCCCTGTCTGTCGCCACTGGCACCTCGTAAGAAAAGGGGGATTATCTGGAAGAGAAGGAAGAGAAGGAGAGAGAGAAGAGGGGGACTTCTCAATTACCCTGCTGCTCACGAGGGCTCCCATGCGTCTGTAGGTCGTCATACAGCGCATGCAGGAACAAGAGTTTGGAGAGGGGGAGGCCAGAGGGTCCTGAGAGATGAAGGGAGGTCTCCAATCTTTGGGAAGCTTGGGCAGCCAGGACCTGGCTGTGGTGAAGCCAGAGAACCAGGGTCCAAACCCTGCCTCTGACGCTGAAGAGCCCAGTGACCTTGGGCAAGTCATTTTCCCCACCCCCACCTCCCCTCAGTTTCCTCCGTAAAATGAGGGCTTTGGACTAGACAGTTTCCTAGGTCCCTTCTGGGGCTAAATCTAGGATTCTGTGATCCTATGGGCCTCAGTTTATTTAGTAGAATAAACGGGTTGGCCCAGCTGACCTCTGAGGTCCCTTCCAGCTCTAAGGAGGAGCTCTGGGGGTCCTGGGAGGTGGTGGTGGGAGTGGGGCTGAAAGAAGCCCTGAGGTTTTGTCCTCTGGACAGGGGCTCACAAGAGATGCCAGTGACCTGGAAGACATTGGAAGGGGGAGGGGAGGAAGGGGGAGGGGCCGGGGTCTCTTTTCCCGGATTTGCCTGTTTTTCTTGGGTGTTGGTGTCCCCCCCACCCGCTGCGAACACTGGCACATTGCAGATGACAAGCCGGGGATGGTGGGGATCCCCTTATCACTTCCCCAAGGAAGGGTAGAGGCCCTCAGATCTCCCCCCACCATTTTGCTGCAGGGGCTGGGGGCTGGGCTACTGTCTGAGTGTGTGTGGAGGGCAATGGAAGGAGGGAGGCGGAGGGATGAGCAGGGGAGGATGGAGAAGTTGGAGAGATTCCTCGGTGCTGAAGCTCCCCCTTCTGGTCATTTCGGGGCTGTGTTTGAGCCTTTGGTTTGGAGTGGAAGGAGAGGGGAGAGACAGACAGACAGACATGCAGTGAAAGGGAGACACACAGAGACATAGATACAGAGAGAGAAAGTGGCAGAGACAGTAAGACCCAGAAAGAGACAAGGCACACAGAGACAGAGACAGAAAAACAGAGA